CCTCCTCTCCGGCCGCTGCCGCAGGGCGGGGCCCGGGATGCTGCGCCCGGTCCAGCTGCGCCAGAGGTGCCCGCGCTGCGCCTTCCCGCCGGGGATGGGGTTGAATGGGAGACGGTGTGGGCCGAGGCCGGAGGGACTGCACGCTGGAAAGGACGGCCGCGGGGGGAGGGGGCTGTGCCGAGCGGGGGTGCGGCGCCTTTGTCTGCTGGTGCTTCGGGTTCCAGCAGCCCGGTGGGGGTAGGGGAAAAATGGGAGGGTGGGTGGCTTGGCACCCTCAGAACAATAGCCGCAGCCTGGCCTCCCCCCACCCCCATGCCGCGTGCTTCTGGACGCGCTAATGTGCTCAGTCACCGCGGCTGAGGGTGAGGGGATGGAGGGGCTGGGGGCTCTCTCTTTGGGAGCTGGGATTCTGAGGGCTGAAAAAAGGGAGGGCTTTTTAAAAATCATGGCACGGACTACCCCCCCCATCAAGAACACAGCCTCACACTGAAAATAGTGACACAGCGTCACACAGGACATGATGTCACACACATACACAACAGCCCTAGTGGCCCAGATACACTGGGAGGCACCACGCATACCCAGTCATGCAGCAGCTACAAGTCAGAACCATGCACAGATACACAGGGGTACCCCCAGTGTCACACACAGACAGACATGCAAAACCACAAGCACAGCGTTGTATATACCTAGTAATATGTCATATGCATGGGAATCCTCACACACAATTATGCCATCCGAGATGCACACACACACATCCATGCACCCATCCATGTCACAACACACTATATAATATCTAGGCATGTCACATGCTGTGTCACACTAACTTCAGGAAAAACAGACATAGGGAATCTTACAGAGATAGAGAAACACACAAAATCACACGTTATCACACATAAGACTCACCTAGGAAATGTCATACATAGGGGCATGCTTGACATGCTCAGTGTTGCAGGATGTTAAACTCATACAGTAGATACCGCACATGGACACACATGGTGAATGTCACACACAGAAGCAAGGACAGTGTCTCATACAGACTCAGAATGCTGCACAAAGACAGAGGCCCATGTCGTAGAACTTATGCATCACGAACATGTTTCAGCACACACAGTCATGGACAAGTGGCGTTTCACACTGTGCTACATAGACACACAAATGCACAAGTTGTGTCACATAACATAAACCCAGGGAGTGTCACGTATGATGTCACACTAGGATTCGTTAGGGTTAGGGATGGCACATGTAGATACATACAGTGAATGTCACATACAGACCGAAGGACACAGACACTCAGTATCACCAATAGTGTCACATAGACACCATGACTATCACACCATGACTGACACTGTGCCCCGTACATCACGTATGATGTCACACTAGGATTCGTTAGGGTTAGGGATGGCACATGTAGATACATACAGACCGAAGGACACACTCAGTATCACCAATAGTGTCACATAGACACCATGACTATCACACCATGACTGACACTGTGCCCCGTACGTGATCCACACTGGGAGTCTCTCACACACGTGCATCCCCTGCCATACATAGTCCTGCTGAGGCTTCCACCACCTCCCCTTCGAGTAGTCCTTCAGGGGCGCCACCAGCACACACGGATGGGAGATAGGCGGGGATTTGAGCATGGAGACCGGCTGGCTGGGCTTAAGAACTCACTGGGCTGCTGCCTGGCCGGCCCCTCTGCCTCGCCTTCCCCACAGCTGCCGCACCAGTAACAGGAAAAGCCTCATCCTGACCAGCACCTCACCCACGCTGCCGAGACCCCACTCCCCGCTGCCAGGCCACCTGGGTGAGACCATTGGTGCAGTCTTGGTGGGTGTGGACCAGACTGCAGGAGGCGGGGCCACAGGCGAGGGGCGTGGCCATGCGGCAGGAGGGCGTCTGAGTCTGAATAGAGGCGGACCCGGGTTGGATAAGAGGCGGGACCATCCATGTGTGGGCGTGGCCAGTCCGCAGAGGGACGGTCATTGGTGGGTGGAGGCTCGGGCGGAACTAGTAGACTGGAAAGTGGATGGGACATAAAGGAGGAGCCAAACCTGAGGGGCGGGGCCATCCCAGACGAAGGCGGAATCGGCCTGCAGGAGGCTGGACCGACTCGTCAGCTAAATCAGTGTAGAGGCGGGACTAGGCTAGAGAAGCGACGGGCTGCTGTTCGCACCGGTTTTAGGGATCAAGAGGCCTGAAGGGATTGCCCTCCAACCCAGGCCTAAAGCTCCCCCTCTTTCCGCCACAGGTAGCAGTCCCCTGGACAGCCCCCGTAACTTCTCCCCCAACACCCCTGCCCACTTCTCATTTGCCTCCTCCCGAAGGTGAGTCCCTCCCAGCAGGGCCCCAGAACCACGGCTGGACCCTCCCCACCGCCGTCTGGGCTGCCATCTGTTCCCTCCTAATTGCACCCGAGCTGAGGCCTGAGGGGACCTGCAGCGCGCCCCAAGGTCCCTGCGGGAAGGACGGCCCAGCCTTCGGGGTGGGGCCTTAAAAAGGCGGGGCCAATAGCTGATCTGCAATAGGAAGGGGGCGGGGCTTCCTCTGAGGCCGAGCGAAAACGCGTGCGCTCTGGGCCCGGGGTCTCAGTCTCCCAGAGCCTCGCGCTCCTGGCCTGGGGTTTCCATAGCAACAGGACAGGGCAGTAGAGTTGAGGTGCGCAAGCGCAGACTGCATGTTGCCCATCTAGGGACTCTGGGTCCCCGAAGTGGGGGAAGGCTGCTAGGGCTATTTTTCAAGGGCCCAAGAGGAAGAATCCCTGGTTTTTCTCCGAGAGTCTCTAGAGTGTACTTAAATGACTTTTCTGGGGGCCTTTGGAGAAATTGGGGGAGGCAGAGAAGTTCCTCTAATGTTTCTGGAGAAACTTCTATTTATTTATTTTTGTGGCTGGCTGGTACTGGGATCCGACAAACCTTTGAACTTGGTGTTATAACACTGCACTGTAACCAACTGAACTGACCAGCCAGCCCCCGAACTCTATTTATTCTAAAATTGGTGTCTAAACACCTGCTATGTTCTAGGAGCTGGGCATATGGGGCGAGTGGGGCACACAGGCCAGAGAACAGGGATCATTATGAAGGGCGATGAAGGCTGTGCTGTGGGAGTCACAGGGGACAGTGGGGACAGAGGACAGCTCCCTGGGAGGGAGGGGAAAGCTCCCCTCGATGTAGAATTGAGCTGAGGGCAACAGGGAAACAAGACAGAGCTCTAGGGTTGGGCATAATGTGTTCATGTGCACGGAGAGAGGGCTGAACTGGGGCACCGCCGGGAGGAAGGGACAAGGGAGCAGCCCTGTGCGTGGAGCGTGTGTGCACGTGACTGTACCATCTGTGTACTGATGTGGACGCGTGTGAGTGTGAGACTGTGAATATGTGAGTGAGCCTGTGCCTGCACACGCATCCATGGGAATGTGCATCAGCGTGCAAGTGTGAGCGTGTGTGTGTAGGTGTGAGAGAGTGTTGTGTGTGAAGTGTGAATGTGTGAACTGCCAGCATGTGAACTTGCCATCCTAGTCACACTAAAACTAGTGGGTGTGGGTGTGAGAGTGATTATGTCTGAGTGCACCAGAGTGTAGAGACACCAAACACAAGAGCATGTGAGAGTGTGTGTGTTTGTGGGAGAGGCCTTTCTTCTCTGAGAGGGCCCAAGGGGCCTCCCAGGGGAGTTCACTAGGGGTAGACTTTTGGGGTCCCTCTGGAATGAATTTCTTGGGTGGGCTTTTGGGGGGGATGACAAGAGAGGAGGATTGTGGGGAGGAGCAGAAGAGACTAATCCTGTCTCCCCGTCCCTGGTACCTGGCTGGCAGACTACCTCTTTACCTCCTGGACTCTGAGGGCCTTCAGGAATCTCAGAGCACAGATAAATTCCCCCACCTCCTGCCCTGGCTGTGGCCAGAGTCTTCTCTCACACCCTGAGGAGTGCGGGGACCGGTGAGAGCAGGCAGCTTCTGAGCACCTTGCTGGGTTCTAGGGCGGATGGTCGACGTTGGTCTCTGGCCTCTCTCCCTTCATCTGGCTATGGCACCAACACGCCCAGCTCCACCGTCTCGGTGAGTGCGGCAGGCGGGTGGGCAGGTGGGGAGGAGCTGCAGGGGGCCCTCCAGCCCGAAGGTACACAACAGACCAGCAGCCCAGGCTGGGTGGAACGAGAGGCTGGGTTTCTTTTTCCTCCAAAGTGTCCACTTGACCATCTATTAGCGAGTTACAGGTCCCCCCAACTCCTGTTCTCTGCCCTCAGTACATATTCTTGGGGATCCTACTCATTTCTGACTCATTTACAGATGAAGACATTAAGGGTCAGTGAGTTAAGACACTTGCCCAAATGTCTGTAGCTAGCCAGGGCCAGGCCATGGCTTTTGTGCAGAGCCTATCGGCTTACCCCCTGCAATACCCCAAGACACTCTCTCCATCTGCCCTCTTTTCTACCCGTGTCTCTGGTCCACTCATCCATCCATCGCTATGATGATCAGCAGACATTTATCACCAGTTTGTCATGTAGTGGGCAGGCTCTATGAGCTGCGCCAGGGCCCAAGGATTCATGCAGCCCTTATGAGGGTAACAGACCAGTAAGAAGGTAGTTACAACATGGGGTAGTTGGAACTGTGATGGGAGCAGCACAAGGCAAGGTGACAGCAGAGGAAAGAAATGTGATTCAGCTGGAGAGTCAAGGAAGTCTTCCTGGAGGAGGTGGCATTGAAGTTAAGACAGGATCAGCAGGAGTTTGGCAGGGGAAGAGAGGAAGAAGGGTGCTCCAGGAAGGGGGAACAGCATGTACAAACTCCCAGAAGCCACAGAGGACTTGCTGCATGTGGAAAGTTGAAGGTAGCCTCACGTGGCTGGAGCTTTGGTTGGAGGGGAAAGAATAGTGGTGATGCAGATAATGACCTTGATCATGTTGAGACTTTTGGCCAGGGCAGGGAGGTGGCTTTTATTCTAAGTGCAGTGGGGGAGCCATAGAATGACTTTATTGCCTTACATTAAATTGCACTAAAATTATATTTAGAACTATTTGATTTTTTGTTTTGTTTTGGGCCAGTTTGGGGATCTGAACCCTTAACCTTGGTGTTACGAGGTGTTGCTCTAACCAACTAAGCCAGCCCTAGAACTATTCAAAATTGTTATTCTGTAGGTTATAGATAATATGTATTAAATTTTTTTAAAAAAATTCTAGCATTAGCATCTGGAAAAGAAAAAATATTTTTCAAAAGTAGATACGGAAAAAAAAAAAAAGAAAAAAATGTAGATACGGATGGGATGAGGAGGTTTAAGCAGAGGAGTGAGTGATGTGCTGTTTAAAAAGATCATTCTGACTGTAGGCAGAATCAAGTGGGTGTTGTGTCTCTTCGCTGATGTCTGTGGGTCTGTGTTTGCCCTGACTGCATGCCAGATCCTGACTAGGGACCAACCAGAGCCAAATCCCTGCCTCGAGGAGCAGATAGCAAACAATAACAAATAAATAATAAAGACGTAGAATGTTGGGAGATGAATCAAGAGGAAACAAGATAGGGTAGAAATAGGAAATGATGGATGTGTGTTCAGAGGAGGCCTCCCGAGGGGTGATATTTAAGCAAAGACTTGAAGGAGGAGAAGACACGATCAGTAGTACAGGGTTCCAAGAAGAGGGGACAGGCTATGCAAAGACCCGGGGGCAGGAGGTGGCCTGGATTTTTCAAGGACCATCAAGGAGGCCACTGCAGCTGGAGTACAGCCAGCAACGGGGAGAGTGGGAGGAGGTGATGTCCAGATGGTGCAGGACTTTGTGGGCCACGAGGAGGACTTGAGTGTTTAAGTAAGGTGGGAGCCATGGAGGGTTCTGAACAGAGGAGGGACATGACTCAAGTTTTACCAAGTTCCCTCTGGCCACATCCATGTCTGTGTCACTGTCCCTAGCCGAGTCTGTCCCTGTCCACCCGTCTGTCACCAGAAGTCTCAACCAGGGCCCTGGGATCCAGGGATCCTAAATCAGGTCCTGATGCTGGCCTTGCCCAGTGTCCCATCAGCCGGGGAGTCCCACCCCAGGGTCCCGAGCTGCGGGGGGCTCGCGGCGGCTCTGACCCCGGCCCCGCCCCTCCCCCAGTCCTCCTGCTCCTCCCAGGAGCGCCTGCACCAGCTGCCCTACCAGCCCACCGTGGACGAGCTCCACTTCCTCTCCAAACACTTCGGCAGCACCGAGAGCATCACAGACGAGGATGGCGGCCGTCGCTCCCCGGCCGTGCGGCCCCGCTCGCGGAGCCTCAGGTGGGCAGGCACGGTCGCCCCCCACCCAAGCTGACGATCTGGGGGCTTGTGAATTGAGAGACCCCTTTCCCTGTGAATGAAGTGGGCTTGCCGTATGATGGGTTAGACCTGGGGGGACCTGATGCCTGTCTGCCGGCTCGGACAGGAGGGGCTTCTTTCCCCGCAGCCCCGGGCGTTCCCCCTCCTCCTACGACAACGAGATCGTGATGATGAACCACGTCTACAAGGAGAGGTTCCCGAAGGTGAGGCGGGGCGCGGGGCGGCCGCGGGGAGTCGGGGCAGCCCGGGCTCTCGCTCACCTTAGCCCCGCGTGCCCCCTGGTGGCCGGAGAGCGCAGCGCAGGCTCCCGGCGGCGACAGCCTCTGGGCCCAGCCGCGCGCCAGCATCCCTGCCCTGCCTCTGTCCCCCACGCAGGCCACCGCGCAGATGGAGGAGAAGCTGCGCGACTTCACCCGGGCCTACGAACCTGACAGCGTGCTGCCGCTGGCCGACGGCGTGCTCAGCTTCATCCACCACCAGATCATCGAGCTGGCCCGGGACTGCCTCACCAAGTCGCGAGACGGACTCATCACCACGGTCTACTTCTACGAATTGCAGGAGAACCTGGAGAAGCTGCTGCAGGATGTGCGTGCACGCGGAGGCCGGCCCCTTCTCAGGCTCTGCACCCACGAATCCTGTCCGATGCCCCCACATCCATTCAGGAAGCACCTGCCACGTGCCAGGCACTGGTGTGGAGCTGAGGATTCAGGGGTGGAAGAGAAGGACCTGGTCCCCATCCTAGGTCTGATGGTGGAGGCTGGAGTTTAACCTCCTTAACCTCCTTCAGGTCTCTCCTCAAATGTCGACTTCTCAGGTGGCCTCCTAGACCCCGCCCCCCATTTAAAATCTCTAACTCTGCTCACACCACCGACTTAGTCTTTAGTTTCTCCTTAATACTTAACATGATCTATCATAGTGGATATTTTTGATTATTTTTTTTTCTTGTCTCCTCTATTCCAATGTCAACTTCACAGGTGGGGTTGGGGCTTCTCTGTTCTGTTTACTGCAGTGTCCCTGGTGTCTGGCACATTGCCCAGCACACAGTAGGTGCTCAATGAATGTTGGTTAAGTGAATGGATTAATGAATGAAAGTAAACAAGATAATGCCCCCAATTCAAGTCAATGATCACAGATAGCATTTTATTTATTTATTTATTTATTTATTTATTTATTTATTTATTTCAGCCAGCCCCCACAGATAGCATTTACTCAACACCTACTGTGTGCTGGGCACTGGGAACACAACAGTGAACAAGTATTCCCGCCCTTGTGGGGCTAATATTCTAGTGTGGGATACCAACGAGAAACATGGAAACAAACAAAGGAAGGAATGCAATGATTTTGGCTGACACTTAGAACAGGGCAGCCAGATGGAGTGTCAGGATCTCCTCTGTAAGATCCACAGAGGCCTTCCTGGAGGATGTGACACTGAAATTAGGGCAAAAATAAGGAGGAAGTGGCAGCTATGAGAAGAACTTGAGGGAAGGTGTTTTGAGAAGAGGGAACAGCATAGGCAAAGGCCCTGAGGCAGGAAGGCAGTGGGGGAAATTTCAGGAACACAGAAGCCAAGTGACTGTACGTTGGGGCTTCTCTGTTCTGTTTACTGCAGTGTCCCTGGTGTCTGGCACATTGCCCAGCACACAGTAGGTGCTCAATGAATGTTGGTTAAGTGAATGGATTAATGAATGAAAGTAAACAAGATAATGCCCCCAATTCAAGTCAATGATCACAGATAGCATTTTATTTATTTATTTATTTATTTATTTATTTATTTATTTATTTCAGCCAGCCCCCACAGATAGCATTTACTCAACACCTACTGTGTGCTGGGCACTGGGAACACAACAGTGAACAAGTATTCCCGCCCTTGTGGGGCTAATATTCTAGTGTGGGATACCAACGAGAAACATGGAAACAAACAAACGAAGGAATGCAATGATTTTGGCTGACACTTAGAACAGGGCAGCCAGATGGAGTGTCAGGATCTCCTCTGTAAGATCCACAGAGGCCTTCCTGGAGGATGTGACACTGAAATTAGGGCAAAAATAAGGAGGAAGTGGCAGCTATGAGAAGAACTTGAGGGAAGGTGTTTTGAGAAGAGGGAACAGCATAGGCAAAGGCCCTGAGGCAGGAAGGCAGTGGGGGAAATTTCAGGAACACAGAAGCCAAGTGACTGTACTGTTGTGAGATGAGGTTGGATAAGGGCACAGGGACCAGAATATGGGTCTCTGGGCTCCAGGCCCCCAGCCCAGACCTGAAAGACAGCATGTTGGTGTCATCACCTTTGGTGTCAGATCTGGGTTTCAGTCTACATTCTGCCACTAGGTCCATAGAGCCGAGGGCACAGACTCCAGACAGCCTAGGTTCACATCCAACTCGTCTCTTACTTGCTGTGCAGCCTTTGCCATGTCACTTAACCTCTCTGTGCTTCAGTTCTCCTATAAAGAGGGGGTTTGCTCATTCATTAATTCCACCAATATTTACTAAGCACCTACTGTGGGTCTGGCACTATCCTAGAAGCTGGAGAATCCACTGGAATTAAAACAAACAAAAATCCCTGTTTTGGGGGAGCTGACATTCTAGCAGGAAGAGAGAGAAGGTGAACAAACAGTAGGCATCAGGTAAGCTGGCTGGTTAGTTCAGTTGGTTAGCATCATGGTGCTGATAACACCAAGGTCCAGGGTTCAATCCCTATATCTAAAAAAAAAAAAAAAAAAAAAAACCATTAAGGCTGGGACCAGGGTGGGGCAAGTGACTAATTCTGTGCCATCCCCCCCACCCCCGAGTATTAAAGTAATTATTTTAAAAATCAAAGAGTAGGTAGTTAAAACTCACAACAATATTATTAATTTTGTGTGTATGTGGCAGCTGGCCATGCAGGGATCGAATCCTGGATGGGTCTTATCAGCACCACGCTCTAACCAACTGGGCTAACCGGCCAGCCCCCACAACATTATTTTAAGTTTACATTTTTTTTTTAAAAGATGACCAGTAAGGGGATCTTAACCCTTGACTTGGTGTTGTCAGCACCACGCTCTCCCAAGTGAGCCACGGGCCAGCCCTTTATTTTCCTGGTTTTAACGGAAACAAACGCATCGATAGTAATATTTTCAATGAAACCACTAGACATTTTTTTTTTTCCTTTTTGTCTTTTTCCATGTCCGGCAACGGATCGCAACCCTCAGTG